CTCCCACTTTTTTGAAAATCATATACTTTAGCCCCAGGCAACAAAACAAGTGTAAAAAAAAGATCCCCAACGTTGACGCAGTACTTGTTCAGAAAAGAAGGGAGGCTTGAAACGCCAAAACGTGCCATACTCGAAAGCTAAGCCCGAAATCCCAAACCGCAATAAAGCCTTAAACCAAGTTGACCCTCGACCTGGGATGTTCCCCCTTATACTATCAGTCCTTGAAAGGGACTACAGTACCCCGATGACACTCCCTATACAGGACTGTTAGGATGACAGGGAACATCCCAACCCCAATGAAACCCTCAACCCTGAACCCTAAACCCCAGATACCCCCCCAAAAAACTGAGCAGGGACGATTTTAAAGGGACCATTACCCTTAGACTGCGCAAACCCCAGCCCGCTTAACTCCAAACCCTATAAACCCTGTAAACCCTGTACCTATATACCCTATACACCCTCACCCTAAACCCTATAAACCCTATAAATCCTGTAAACCGTACACCCTGACACTAAACTCCCCCCCCCCCCTCCCCACAAAAAAAAGAGAGTAAAGCAGCTGCGCTTCCGAAAGTGGCCCGGCCATGAGGAGTCCAGAAGCCTGCTGCATGGAGGACTTCATTGAGTTGATGTTGAGGGTTGAGGGGTTGAGGGTTTAGGGTTTAGGTTTAGGGTTTAGGGTGTAGGGTGTAGGGTGTAGGGTGTAGGGTGTAGAGTGTAGGGTGTAGGGGTTTGGGGGTTTAGGGTTTGGGGTTTAGGGTGTAGGGGTTTGGGGGTTCAAGGTGTGGGGTTTGGGGCTGAGGGTTTGGGGGTTTCACGCAGCTTGGCACACGGGAGTTTGCGTCGTGATTGGTGTGGTTCAGATGTACCCAGGGACTCCCCAACCCCTTCGCTCCTTAAATTCTACGGGATGGGAATATGCTCTTCTTAGCTGAGAGGTATGTGGGAGTCCTTCGGTAGCTATCCGACCCCAGCAAGACATGCTTCAAAGCAGAGCTGCGAAGACCACACTGAACCCGAAACCCTAAAGACTAAAGCCCTAAAACCCTAAAACCCTAAAACCCTAAAACCCTAAAACCCTAAAACCCTAAAACCCTAAAACCCTAAAACCCTAAAACCCTAAAACCCTAAACCCTAAACCCTAAACTAATCCCGATAACCCTTAAACCCTACAACCTCAAACCACCCTAAACCCTAAGCCCCTAACCCTAAGCCTCCTCCAAGCCCCATACTTGGAAGCCCTATTGACTTGGTAAGCGGGGTCAAAAGAGCTTCCAAGAAATCAAAATCCGGTTGACGATGACGATTTAGGGCTCGAGTCTCGAGTTTGCAGGGTTTTCGTCCAAGCGGGAGCGAGAGTTATAGGGCGTACGCGGGCTTAAGGTTATCCTGGCTCCTCCCGAAGCCTAAACCCTAAACCCTAAACCCTATAAACCTCGCAAGCCTCCGCCACGGTACTGGCCCAGGAGATGTGCATTGTCGTCGACTTGGTCCACCCCAACGATGCATCGGCCTGCGTAACCCAACAGCAGAACCCGGGTTTGCCAGAGGCTCCTTGGCGCCCAAATCAGGCTATCAAATGTAACCATAGGTACCCTTCTTATAACCCTTCGGGTTTAGGTTTAGGGTTTAGGGTTTAGGGTTTAGGGTTTATATGTACCCATGAACCTCCAACTAGGGACTCGGTGCCCTGCCTGGTAACACCTTGACATTCATCCTTCGGCGAGGGGCCTTGGGGTTTAGGGCTTAGGGAAGCATGGTTTTTACTACTGGCATCCGACAGCAAGTCAGTACACTTACCAGTATTCCTAAGGAACCCTAAATACACGCACCCAGAACGGTCATAGAAACCCTGTTCGTATGGCTGTTGCCCTAAACCCTAAACCCTAAGCCCTAAACCCGAAACCCTAAATCCTAAACCCTAAACCCCACGGCTGAGCCTCCCATGCAGGCAGCAGGGCCCAGAAGTAGTAGGTGCACCCGACCTAGGCATTGCTGGCTGGTTCTTCGTAGGGAATGAGGGAATGAGGTACCCTATATCATCCCTTAAAGGGTTTAGGGTTAGGGGCCTGCAATACGGCTCTCAAGATACTGAGTTCTTGTTCAGGACCTTAGTTCAGTTACTTTACTAGGCGTCCAGAGTCTTGAGCTCTCAAGGTCGTAAACAAGAGCCCCACCATAGCCTTCTGCCAGCTGGGTGCTGTTTCGAACACAACTGGAAGTCCAAGAGTGGCGTGGGTGCTGGTTTCAAACTAGGGTTTCAGTTTAGCAGGGTTTCTGGGTTTAGGTTGAGGGTTCAGATAGCTGTGCATTCAAGAGGCGATGCTGAAGACAAACCACATGATGCTCGCTAGCAGCAGCATCTCCTTGCCGAAGGAGCAGCCGTTTGAGAGCACCGCTTGTCCCCCAAAAGGGTGTAGGGTTTAAGGTTTAGGGTTTTGGTTTAGGGTTTAGGGTTTGAGAAGCGACAAAAGCAGCCTGGCTTTGACCTTGCCACCTCGCTCATCCATTCCGCACATTCCTCCCAAAGGAACTGCCTTCTCTTTGCAAGCACCGTACCTCAACCACCATTTTTCCCGAGGATGCGATGAAGGTACATGGTCACTTCTCGAAAATATGGCCCCTTTGGGGGGTCCGTAATTAGTGTGAGGCGGCCCCTCATTTTTCGGGCACCTTCACAAGCGACCATAATGTAGAGAACTCACCACATGATTGCATGGAAATCAGCGTAGCTCTCCCACAACAAAAGCCCCTGAACCCTAAACAACAAAGTTATTTTGCTTCGAACATCCCCACCCCTTTGGTAGAGACACCCTGCGGTTGGGCACTCCAGGGACAGACTGAGGCTGGGCACTCCATTGGGGTGGGCACTCCAGCAACACGCTGGGGCTGCACACTCCAGGGATGAACGAGGAGTAGACCGAGGAGAAGAGTTCTGGGTGAGGAGAAGAGTTGACTTTCAAATCTCACACCGTGGGGAACAACACAAATCCCCGAAAACCCTGGACCGCACAATGGCCCTGAACCTCCCCCCCCCCCCCACAAAAAAAGAAAAAACGGGTTCTTAGCGTTCCTCTGCAGACCAGCCGACATTTGGCTGCGGAAGCCGTGCTGCGCCATAGTCCGAGTGCCCTGCATCTGCGACTGGGATTCTCAGGGTTTACGTGTGGGGTTGAGGGTTTAAGGCTAGGGTTTCGGGTTGTACTTGAAAGCTCATGGGCAGATGCAAGAAGGGCAATAAGGGCCCCACACAAAGCTAGCTCCTACTTCTGACCACAGTTGCACCAGGTAGGGGCGTGCATAGCCCCGAAGCTAAAACCCTCAACCGCTAAAGCCCTAAAGCCTCATGCCCTAAACCCTATCCTAAACCCTGAAATTTGAACCCTAAACCCTAAACCAATCACAAAACCTAGCCCTAAACCCTAGCCCTAAACCCTAAACCCTAAACCCGAATTCAGGCTCCTCCGCAGTTGAGGCTCCAGGTTTAAGATTTCCCAAACGACAAACCCAGCGCGCCTGTGGATTTCAGAGTGTACGGCTTGCAGTCGTTTAGGGTTTGGGGTTTAAGGTTAGGGTTTAGGGTTAGGGTTTAGATTTTGGGGTTTAGGTTTTACGGTTTAGGGTCTAGGGTGTAGGGTTCAGGGCTGGCGGTTACTTACGTAAGGTTTAGGGTGTTCGGGTTTCGGGTTTAGGGTTCCCTGCAGGAATGGGACAAAGCCCAGAAAAAAACCCTAAGCCCATGGCCTTTCCGCTCAAGGTCCACTTGCGCCTTCATCCCATCCGTAAGGGGGATGCTGCACAGGGCAGCTTCGGCGGCTTCAACAGGGGGGGTTTGGAGTTTGGGGTTTGGGCTTTAGGGTTTGGGGTTTAGGGTTTAGGGAATAGAAGGGTTGGCTCTGGGACTTTTGGGTTCTTTGGGGGTTGGAGAAACCCAATCAGCGTCGACCCAGGCGTTTAGGGTGTAGGGTTTTAGGGTTTAGGGTTTAGGAGGCTGCCCCAGAAGTAGATTCGCTAAGCAGATGAAGCCCGGCAGGTAGTTCCGGGCTTGGGCCCGAGGTGCAGCAGAGCGGACGCCTTTGGATTCAAGTCTCTCCACCTGAGGGTTTAGGGTTGTCTAGGCAGGGTTAGGTTTTTGGGGTAGCGCCACTTGCGCCCCTACAGCGTACACCGCCAAACCCCAAACTCCATAAGCCCAAAACCTTGCACACCCATAAGCCTTAAAACCTACAGCCCTAAAACCTGTTAAACCTATTCGGGGTACTAAAAATCCCTAGTAAGGACCGTTCGTATAAGGGGGAACATCCCACCCCGCAACCCAACCGCCTAAAGCCCGTGAGCCCGAAACCGACCCTACTCCGCCAGAGCAATGCTCTCCTTGCTTGGACCAAGGGGTTGAGACTCGTACCCCTAAGGTTGTACCTGTGGATGTTCCACCTTATACTAGCAGGCCCGAATAGGGATTAGAATTGGGGATACTGTAATCCCTGCTAGTACAAGGGGGAACATCCCAAGTTGTACCCCCCAAAAGGCCTTCTCTAAGATGCTCCGAATATGGCCCTTCAGTTCCCTTAGGAGGATCTTGAAAAGGGTTCCCCAAACCCGAGGGTACCACCTTTAGACCCTAAACCCTAAACCCTAAACCAGGCCATCACAAGGGATTTCGGGATTAGGGTAGAGCTCGTATGGGGCTTAGGTTGTAGGGTGTACGTCTGAGGGTAGTTACATGGTCCGGTCATATGGGCCCTTAAAAGGGGACCCCATATCTACCCCTTATATGTACCCTACACAAGCGGAGGGCCCATACATCAGAACCCATTGATGAGGGTAAGGGACCATATTGAGGGCCCATATGGTTTCCTAAAATAAGAGGCCCTAAAAGGGGTTTAGGGTTGAGGGTTTAGGGTTCAGGGTTTAGGGTTGAGGGTTTAGGGTTCAGGACCCATTTAACTACCCTTCGAGCACAGGGGTGACAACACCTTAGCCCGTTCGAGGCCGGGGACGGTCGTTGGAGGCTTCCAGCTCGGCCGCCTTTGCGGGGTTTAGGATTTCGGGTTTACGTTTAGGGTATAGGGTTTGGGGTGTTAGGGTTTAGGGTTTAGGGTTACCAGTACTGGGCCAGTGTCCCGCGGGTTCAGAGCCCAGCTAGACATCTCCGTCCGAGCTCTGCTCTGTTATCTCCGTAACATCAAAAATCCACCGCACGCCCAATAGCCATACTAGCATCAGGACACCGATTTTTGGGGTTGGTTACTTTTATAAGGGAACCTTGAACCGACAAAAAAGGGAAAAGGGCACCACTGGGCTACCCAAGAGTAACCTAGGAATTAAAGGGGCGCCCTTCTGGCTTAAAGGGGCATATAAGGGAACCTCAACCCCAAAAGACGGAATAAGGGCCTACCCTAAACCCTAAACCCTAAACCCTAAACCCTAAACCCTAAACCCTAAACCCCAAAAAAAGGGAATAAGGGCCTGCTCTGGGTTTGCCTATGTTGAGAATCATTTCAAAGGTGGCTGCGAATGCCAAGGAACTGGCGCATGACATGACAAGGTACCATCGCCTTCTGCAGGTTTAGGGTTTGGGGTTTAGGGTTTAGGGTTTAGGGTTTAGGGCTTAGGGTTCAGGGTTTAGGGTTTAGGGCTTAGGGCTTAGGGTTTAGGGTTCCCCAAAATGGGGGACCCCTCTTGGACTCAACCCAAAAGTAACCTAGGACTAAATCGGAATAAACAGGGTGCCCTTTTTGGCCTGCTCACATGTTTGGGGTAGAAAGACCCTACTTGCAGAAACTCTGCACAACACAACGTGCTTGGGGTGCCACCGGGCTTGTAGGGGTTTAGGATTTAGGGTTGTGGGTTTTGGGTTTTGGGAGGCCTCCGCATCATTGCGCAGCTTCTGCCGCATGCTTAGCGCGTCCTGACTCGACGGCTCTTGGCTGGCGACTGTCGATGCATGCGCTGACTATAGGGCCGACTCGACTGGAAATGGGTGCTGAGGGGAGTGTACGTTGTTCTGATATGGGGCTTTAAGGGGACAGTGTTGGTAAATGCTTTGGCTTGCGTAGTAAGCCGTGCAGGCCAGCATGGACGTCGGGCATTCGCTGGCAATTGCTGAGCATCCCATGCAACCGTGCATGAATCAAGACTGACCCACGAAGCCTAAACCCCAGACCTGAACCTTAACTCTAAACCCTATAAACCCTAAACCCTAAACCCTAAACCCTAAACCCTAAACCCTAAACCCTAAACCCGAAACCCGGAACCCTAACCCAAAGCTGTCTGCGTCTTGACATGGTCAGCCCTGGCAGTGAAGGAAGCCACTGCATCCCATAAGCAAAGGCGGATCAACACAACGTACGGCGAGGCCTTTGTGCCCTTGTACCTTGGCTGATGGGGTTTAGGGTGTAGGGTTTACTATAGGTTTTAGGGTTAAGGGTTAAGGGTTTGGGGTTTAGGGTTTAGGGTTAGGGTTTAGGGTTGTTTAGGGTTTAGGGTTTAGGGTTTATAGGGTTTAGGGTTTAGGGTTTAGGGTTCAGGGTTCAGGGTTCAGGGTTCAGGGTTCAGGGTTCAGGGTTCAGGGTTCAGGGTTCAGGGTTTAGGGTTTAGGGTTTAGGGTTTAGGGTTTAGGGTTTAGGGTTTCGGTCCTGGGAAGGCGCCGGGCTCCACTGGCCACTTTGGCAGTTTAGCACTATTGGGCTCTGAGCTTCTAGATAAGGACAGCTTGATGTTGTTGAGATGCTCCACCCTCAGACGCCCCAAGCGTCTATTGATTTGAAAGCCACTGGGTGGGCGCTTCCTTTAACAGGCCACTTGACCAAACAACCCCTAAACCCTTTAAACCCTAGGCCCTAAACCCGAAATCCTTAACAGCAGCAGTTTCAGCAGTTTCTGCCCCAATCACCTCCTCCCTCTGCAGCTGGCTGAGGGTCGGGCTCAGACGGGCAGTTGGTGAAGCACGGCACCTAGCTTTTGCGTGCAAATCTCTAAGATCCTAGGGCCTGCAAGGCAGGCGGAGCTTCAGGACCCTTTAGCAACTTGGGTTCAAGGTTTCAGCAGCCTGTTTTTTCATGCTCTTGCCGCCAGATTGGCAACTTGGGTTCAAGATTCGCAGATGAAGTCTGAGAACCAAGCCATCACGGCTTCGTCCTCTGCCAGCGGAGGTGCCTTCCCGGTTTAGGGTTTAGGGTTCAGGAAAGGCCCCCAAAAACGTGACAGGACGCACCTGAAAAGGGGCAATATAGGGGTCGGAATAATTAGATATAGTGCTCCCAAAAGGTCCCTTTGTAATTGTACTACAATAACCACCAAAGCCCTCTTCTAATTATTCACTCCCCTATAGATTGTTTAGGGTTGAGGGTTCAGGGTTGCCTATAGTACTCCTACTCTCAGCAACCTCTTCATGGCAACCCAACCGGGTTTTTGTGGTTGCCAAACAGTTCCCCAGGTCGGCTTGTGTCTCTGGCCCAGGCAACGGTGGATCCTTGACAGGGCTTAGGGTTTAGGGTTTAGGGTTTAGGGTTTAATTGGGGTTTAGGGTTTAGGGTTTAGGGTCCGCCGGCGGCCTCTACTCCAAAACGCCAACGGCAGCTGAAGTCGTCGTAGTTTGGCCTTGGCCCGACACGTAAAAGGGGCCCTAATAATTAGAATAGGGTTTTGGGGGTTGTTATAGTATAATTGTAAAGGGGACATATAAGGGAATACTACTAGCAATTATCCGACCCCTATCTATCTATCTATCTATCTATCTATCTATATGTATATATATATATATAGACAAGCTTGGATCCCCGTGGTTTTTGCGTATGGAAGTGGGCGTGGGTAGAATGAACCCTGAACCCTGAACCCTGAACCCTGAACCCTGAACCCTGAACCCTGAACCCTAAACCCTAAACCCTAAACCCTAAACCCTAAACCCTAAACCCTAAATCCTAAACCCTAAACCCTAACCCTAAACCCCAAACCCTAAACCCCCCGTCCCTGCCCTCCCCCCCCCCCCGCGGTCCCGTCAGGTGCGTGGGGCTACCCCAGGTTCTATTCAGCGATTGCAACTGTTCTGAAAGTTCCCTAAGGAGCCATGTACCTGTACGGTATGCACTTGGGCCCTACATAGTGAGGGGTTTACGATATTAGGGGATACTTTATATAAGGGGATCCTACCTTTGGGGGGGTCTCTATTGGGGGTCCCTTATTTTCGTAAACCCCTATATAGGAACCCCTTTAAGGCCAAAGTAGATACTAGAGATGCACATGGATCCTTAGGGGTCTGGGCCCGAGGGTCCGGCTGGATGTGAAGCTTCATGCCGAAGTCATCGGTCAACCAACCCTGCGACGGCACCTGCTAGCAAGAATTGAGTTGCAAAGGGGTTTTGGGGACCCGAAACCCAAAACCCTAAACCCTAAAGCCTAAACCCTAAACGCTCCACTCCCAGAGAGGCCTTGCAAGAGTTCACGCAGACCGAGGCACAGTTCCTGAGTGGGTTGCGAGAGTTTGGGGCGGGAGGGGGGGAAAAGGTTTAGGGTTTAGGGCTTGTAGGGCTTAGGGTTGAAAGTTTGGGGTTTAGGGAAGCTGCGGAAAAGGGGAGATTGTTCTCTAAGTTCGGCTTCAGGGTTGAAAAATGCTTCGAGAGGAGGTCGAAGGTCCGAGAGGCCATAGCATAAAATGAGAACGGGAGCCCAAAACCACATGTGGGGTTTTACTCCCTAAAAACCTATAGACCCTGAACCCTGAACCCTGAACCCTAAACCCTAAACCCTGAACCCTGAACCCTAAACCCCACTTGAACTACCTGCACGGCGCAGAGGCCTGACACATCTCCTAACCAGGGAACATTCCTGAAATCCTACTTGGGGGGGGGGGGGGGTCGCAGCCCCTCAGTGGTCTATTCCACAATTACACGAAAACTTCGGACTCCTATGGGGTCAATGTTGCTGCGTCTCTGTCGTCTTGCTTGTGGGAAAGCTTCTGTGCTGAGACTTGCTATCTGAGCACGGCCACCTGAAGAAGTGGACTGCTTTGTACGCTTGCTTTGACATGACTTAGGCTAGGCTACCCAGTAACCTACGCTTAAAGGGGTGTATAAGGGAACCTAAACCCCCCAAAAAGGGAATAAGGGTACTACTGGGCATCCTAGTAGGGCTGACATTGCTAGTATCCCCAAAAAAGGGACACCGCAGATGTCCTCTCAATAGCCCAAAAGGAGCCCTGCACCAAACCTATGAAATCCGAAACCCTAAACCCTAAACCCTAAACCCTAAACCCCTAAACCTTAAACCCCCCTAAGTCTACTTCACATGGTGCTGCTCCCCTAAACCCTAAACCCTAAACCCCAAACCCCTAAACCCTAAACCCTAAACCCTACACCCTAAACCCTAAACTTGTGGCAGGTCCGAGGTGCTGTTCAAGAGCTTCCGTCTAAGCCGCTACGACGCTAAAGCCTTCACCCAGACTACTATAGGGTTTATGTAGGGTTTATGTGGGTTTTTGTGCGGTTTATGTAAGGTTTGTGTCGGGTTTATGTCGGGTTTATAGGGTTTCGGGCTCATTTTTCTAGAGCCCTTGTGGCCGATACCAGCACTTGGCCGCATTGGGCCTCCAGTAAGGACAGCAGTTTGAATTGCTGGGCATGCTTCACTACTAATTGCTTCAGAACCCGCCAAAGATAAACCATTCTTCCTTATTCAGGGTATTATAGGCAATATTGTTCTTTTTTAGGGGGGTTCTTAAGCAAACTCGTAGTTCAGTCTGTCTCATTGCTGCTCCCATTGAGGCTGTGCCAGTTGAAACTCCTGCAATTGCACAGCGCTGCACACCCCCAGCAAGGTCACAATCTTATCAAATTGGCTTCCAACACCTTACACGAACCTTCTTCCCAAAGGATCTCTGTACCTATATAGTATATACTTGGGCCTTAAAGGGGTTCCTATATAGTAGCTTTAGGGCCCAAGAATATACTATATAGGTACATGGATCCTTTGGGCTTTAAATTCTGGCATTTACCCCACAAAACCACGAACCCTAAGCAAGACGCGCCTGCACTTCCACACGCCCCGGGTGTTCACGATTTCCTGAGCTGTGCTTTAAACCCCTTGAAGACTATTGATGAGTAGGTGGCCTCATAAGGAAAGAAGGGAACTTAACAAATATCCCAAACCCTAAACCCTAAACCCTAAACCCTAAACCCTAAACCCTAAACCCAGCTTCATTTGTTTCGGCACCGCACAGCCCAACCATGCCGTTGCCGATGTTGCGGTCCCTCGACGCGCAGGAGATCTCCTTAGCTTTGGAGTAAGCCGTTTAGGGTTTAGGGTTTAGGGTTTAGGTAATAGAAATCCAGAACCAAAAAAAGTATTACAGTATTATAGTACTCCAGGACCCAGTCTCATGCGAGTTGAAATCGGTCTCCTTGGATGTGCCAAGAAACAAAACCAGGTTGATTTCTTTCGTAGGGTTTAGGGTTTAGGGTTTGGGGTTTGGGGTTTAGGGTTTAGGTTCAGGGTTTAGGGTTTAAGTTTAGGGTTAGAGTTTAGGGGTTAGGGCTAAAACTCGAAGGCAACCTCCATCGGACCTGGGTGAGGAGAGCACAGACAAAACAAGCAGCAAAACTCCAAGCAGGCAAACAAGCCGCCCTAAATGGGCCGATGTTTTCAGTGCGGTCCCCGAAGAAGTGCACGTTCCGGGCTGCCAAATCGATCCCTTTCCTTTGGTACCACTGCCTTAGCTGCGCTTGCCGGTTGCATGATACTAAGGCGCACGAGACTGCGCCTGTCCTGCAGTACGTACTCTGGCTGGATCGCGCAATAGTATAGAGTCCAACATCCGAGTGACCGCTGTCAGTCAAAGGAGAAAAAAACAACCACATCTCATTGAGCAGGGCGACACAATCTTCTTTACCGCGTTCTGCTTCTTCCTGTCAGGCCAGCCTAAGACCAATGGAGAGTTCACCCAGATCTGTCCCACGGTCCACGAGGATGCTGAAGTCACTCTGTCGCGGAGCCGATTGAAGGGCCGACTCTTGAGCACGTGCCTCGGCAAGTGTTACTACTGTACACGACACAACGGGAATTACTACAACCCTGAACCCTAAACCCTACAGACTATCCGATTACAGACTGCACACTCAAGAACCATAAGCTGCATAGCTTTTATTTTGCATCGTGCGCCTCAGCAAGTAGCGCCTCTCATCAGAGTTGCGGCCGCTGGCCGTGCCTGCAGAGACCACGCCAAGGTAGCAAGAATTGCAGAAGGTGTGCTCCAAGTTCTGACCTGCGTGCCGGACGGCATGCTTCTTGAGTACAAAAGAAATACTTTAACCCTATAAAGCCTAAACCCTAAAACCTCTACCCTCTAAACCCTAAACCCTCTACCCTCTAATACCTAAACCCTAAACCCTAAACCCTAAACCCTAAACCCTAAACCCTCAGCCGCTGCCCTCCCCAGCTTGATTCTGGATCGCCTGCATCTGACAATGTGAGCGTGCCACCGGAGTACGCGCTGTCCCAAACACCTCGGACCTCGGAGGCCAGGAAAACCCCAAAAGGGTTTAGGGTTTAGGGTTTAGGGGGTGCCCTCACCTAGGGTGGAGGTTCAGGGTACTTGCAACCCAATGATAAGTGCAGCTGTAACCCAGCTCTAAGCCCCTTAAGTACCCTAGTAGGGTTATAATTGGGGTAGATGTACAGTAATATTTGGGTTCCTAAGGACCATGAACCTCCAAGCAAAGCCCTTAAACCAGGGTTTAGGGGAACGAGGGGAAGCTTCGGGTTCAGGGATCACGGTTAAGGTGATTTGCTGAAATCTAACATTCTTGTGTGACTGGCTCTGGGTCCCTGATTTTGAGAAACCCCTAGAACTAAACCCTAAACCCTAAACCCGAGACCCCTCCCACCTTCTCGTTGTGAGGACACGAAGACCAGCGGCCATGGACCCCCTGCTTGCCTGTCAGCGTCCTGTCGATGTCGAAGACACAGAGGCACTCGCCTGCGAGGTGTATGAGATTAAGTCTGGTTTAGGGTTTAGGGTTGAGGGTTGAGGGTTGAGGGTTGAGGCTTGAGGGTTCAGGGATCCCCAAGCAGCAGCCACATAAACAACCAACTTTATTCCAAACTTACAAACTGGTGCCAGGTATGAACTACTGAAGGAATCAGGTAGCTTGTTAGAGTACCTATGTTGGAGCTAATCTGGTCGTAACTATTTCAGTATCCATGAAAACACATTTCAGTACTTGGAGGTTCAAGGTACGTCGTGACCCAATTGTAACTGTACTCATATCCCAATTTGAGCCCTGTTAGGGGTACTTAAGGGGCTTATAAGTGGGTTATGACTACACTTACAATCGGTTAGTAGCCATTAAAAAAAAGCATTTAAAAGAATTTTCGTCCCCACCTCCCCCCCCCCCACCCACTCCACCACCCGGCGACGACTTTTCTTTGACCAGGATAGCTTCGGCAAAGACTTTAGGGTTTGGGGTTTAGCTTTGAGGTTTTTGGGGTTCTGGTACATGAACATGTTCCTTCTCAGTAGGGCAATGTAGGGATGATCATTCTGTGTTTTTCGGGGGGTTCTTGGGCACCCAGTAGCAATAGGCCACGAGGATATGCCATGAGACCGAGTCTGGCTCTTTCTAACGGTTTTGACAAGCCTTTCGGGGCGTTGCATACACTTCGATGCAGGATTTGTTGCGTGTGCGAAACTCCGCGAACTAGGAAGAGCGGAAGAAGTTCGACTCTGCTTGTGACTGAAGGGTTTAGGGTTTAGGGTTTAGGGTTTAGGGTTTAGGGTTTAGGGCTTTTAGGGCTTTAGGGCTTTAGGGCTTTAGGGCTTTAGGGCTTTAGGGCTTTAGGGTTTTGGGGTTCTCCTGGGGGCCTCCATCACCTGGCGGCTCGAAGGAAGGAGGCTCGTACGAAGGAGGCAGCTCCGCATTGATCGACGGGTCGTAGCAGTAGTCAAAGCCTTCTTCGCCCACGCCGGAGCAGCCTGGTACCTAGGTTGCCCAGTGACCTAGGACTAAAAAAAACGCTGCCCTTTTGTTTGCTCCAAAGGGGTTTAGAAGTGAAACGCAACCCCCACCCCCCCCCCCCCCACAAAACAAGGGAATAAGGGGTACTAATGGGCGTCCTAGGTACTGACTCATGGGCGTCGCGCTGAAAGCAGCGAAGATGACCCGCGCAGTCCTCATGGGTTCCCCGACTTCCCCCTGTAAACTACCTTCCCCCCCTTGGTTCCCTCCATAATTAAGGTTTAGCGTTCAGGGTTTTCGGGTTTCAGGTTTAGGGCTTGGGGTTCTCCCTAGAACTAAGCCGAATTAAGTGTGTTTAAGCGGCGAACCTAGGGGGGGGGGGGGGTGGTAGACGGTTTAGGGTTTAGGGTTTAGGGTTTAGGGTTTAGCGCTTTAGGGTTTAAGGGGGGTAGTAGGGAAGCCCATGAAGTCCTCATCCCCATCGCAGTCGCCGGCGCAGACGGGCATCCTGACTTCGGTTTAGGGTTTAGGGTTTAGGGTTTAGGGTTTAGGGTTTAGGGTTTAGGGTTTAGGAACAAGGAGGGACCCCGAGAGAAGGGACCCTTTCATCTTGTTCCCCTATATCACCCATACATAACCCCATATGTATACCCTATGTAGTCCCTATGTACCTAAATAACCCCTAAATGACGCCTGCCGCCTTTAGTCCCTTGATTTTCCTAGTGCTGCAAAAGTGCAAAACGTGAAAAACATAAGTTCCAATGAAAAAACCATATGTATATATATATAATTATTTATTTATCTATTTAATTACTCATTTTTCTATATATTTGTAGTAAGGAAGGTTAAGGGTTTAGGGTTTAGGGCTCAGGGTTTAAAGGTTTAGGGCACCCCGTGAAGACAAGTAGCTCATGACCGCCATGAGAGCCTCGGCTGCTGTCCAGTGGGGGGAATTCCCGCGGAGGGCCACCATAGCCTGGGCCTGAGATGTTCTGAACATCTTTTAGGTTTAGGGTTTAGGGTTTAGGGCTTAGGGTTTAGGATGCTAGGGTTTGGGGTGAAGGGGTTTATAGTTTAGGGCGTTTAGGATTTCGGGTTTCGTGTTTGGTAGGGTCTGGGGACGGTTAGGGTTGGGGGCTTAAAGGGTCTCGGGAGAAAACAAGCATGATCATCATCCCATTGCGGAGGACTCCCTTTGCGGAAGATTTGTGGGAGAACGATGTTTTAAACCCTAAACCCTAAACCCTAAACCCTAAACCCTAAACCCTATTCATATGCTTCCCTCTCGGAAAAAGCAAAAGAAAGATGCTCAAGTCCAAGCCACTGTCTGGGTCGTAGCAGTAGTCGTAACCCTCAAGGCCTCTGCCAACGCAGCCTGGCACTTCCCTAAACCCTAAAACCCTAACCCTAAACCCTAAACCCTAAACCCTAAACCCTAAACCCTAAACCCACGCAGCCTGGCACTTCCTCAAAGGCATCCCGCTGAAAGCACCGCAGGCGTCCTCGACAGTCTTCATCGCCGTCACAGTCACCAGCACACCTAGACCCAGGAGCAACCGAGGAAAAAAAAGGTTACCCGTTTGGTTTTAAGGGAAGGGGAACCCTGAACCCTAAAAAAAAAGGGACTGAGGGCCCACTCTGGGTCCTAGTTGCCCTAAACCCTAAACCCTAAACCCTAAACCCTAAACCCTAAGCCCTAAGCCCTAAACCCTAAACCCTAACAAAAAGGGAATAAGGGCCCTGCTCTGGGTCCTAGACACTCAGGCATGTTGTGGCCACCGTGCGATCCATAGCTGCTGTCGAGCTCACGGCCTTCATGTACGTCGTCATCACAGGCAGGATTGTAGCCTTAGCTTAGGGTTTAGGGTTTAGGGTCTAGGGTTTAGGGTTTAGGGCTTAGGGTTTAGGGTTTAGGGGTTAGGGCTAGTTGCTGAGTTCATAAGCCCCCAAAAAGTGTACACTTTCAGCTCTATAGGGGATTACAGTAGCCCAAAAAGTGTAAAGTGTGCTCACTCAGCTACTAAGTAGCAGTAGTCGTAGGTTGGGATACTGTGTCCTTTGCAGCCAGGCACCGATTCAGACAATACCCGCTTCCTGCCTTGTTTGTCCCAATTCTGACACAGAACGCAGGTTACCCGATTAGAATTCTGTTGGGGCTTCAAGTACTCAATCAACAATCTTGGGATTCCACACGCCCTAAACCCCAAACCCAACAAGGATTGCTGGTATTTTGTTTGCAGGTAGTTTTTCAAACAAATTTCATGGCCAAGTTGCATCTCAAGCCAGGAGCACAATCGCTGTCACGATCACAATCTCCCTGGCACTCCGTCAGTTGATCACTACCTGGGTCCCAGAGTAATGCAAGAAGCTCAAAGGGTAGACCCCCTTTGACCCTAAACCCTAAACCCTAAACCCTAAACCCTAAACCCTAAACCCTAAACCCTAAACCACCCTGAGTCCAAGGCACCATGGCTCCAGATAGTTTGAAAGTTCACGGAGCAGTAGCCATCGGCTGTGGCATCCGGAGCATCCGCACTCCTCGCCTTCGAGGCCGTGATCTTCTTTTGCAAGAGCCAGTGGTCCTGGAGGGGTTTTACGAACATAGGGTTTAGGGTTTAGGGTTTGGGGTTTAGGGTTTAGGGTTTAGGGTTTAAGGTTTAGGGTTTAGGGTTTAGGGGGGGGGGGGCCTAATAGTAGGATTCCCTTCTAATAAGGGCCCAGTAAGGTGCCCCTAATATCGGAAACCCCCTCCTTCGTCTTGCATCCACCCTTGGGGCAATCATCCGCCAGGGCCACCCCAAGCAGCAGCAGAAGGACTCGCGCCATGGGTTATAAAGAGCAAAGAGCTGAGACTGAGAGGCAAGCTGGGTTTGGGTGGAAACCCTGCTAATTGCGCCTGCAAGTCTACAACCGCGCGCCGACTCGAGCCAATGGTCACTTTTCACGGCCGTGCAGCGGGCTGCTTCTTCTCAATGGCATGAAGCTAGCACAAAAGCGACGTGCAATTTCTCATGGGTCGGACAGCATGTCAGCTTCCCTTTTGCTCCTTGTACTGTCTTCCAAATTCAACCCTGCGGAGGCTCAACCTATAAGACTCGAAAAAGTCTGCACCCCTCTCACAACTTAAGCCCTAAACTAGCCCTAAACCCTCCACTCCTAGATGAGCGATGCTGAATGCAAGCCCTAAACCCTAAACCCCAAACCAACAAAGGCTGGACGTCCAGATTCGGCCACGGCACGCGCTCTCCAGGAAGCGACACCTCTCCGCTTTGACAGTCTGGGGCACGCGCCTGCCGCAGGAAGCCAGTTAAGGGTTTAAGGTTTAGGGGTTAGAGCTTAGGGTCCAAAGTGGTTTCAAGACAACATTTAGGCGGAAGGAATGCCCCTGCATTGCTGCGTAAGTATCCTGAGAGCTACACGACGTGCCTTTGCAAGGGGTGAGAGCACTTCAACTTACGCTTTCACAGCCTCCGCCCGGAGGCCCCAAGCCCGCCTATGCCTCCCTACACCGTACTATTTCGGAAAATTCGGGAGGACGGGTGGCAGTAAAATTCAGGGGCTATATGGGTCCTCATTCCCGATTCCCGAATTGCCTCAAGCTAAAACAGGAGCCCTACTTGGGTACTTATGACCTATAAGCCCCTCAAGTACCCTAATAAGGTGAAAATTGGGTTCTAAGAGCAGCTACAATTGGGGTTAGTAAGAACCTTATGTAACCCTAAACCCTCAACCCTCAACCCTCAACTCTAAACCCTGAACCCTGAACTTGTAAGCAAAGGCCCCCAAGAGGAGGAGCTGCAGAGGAGCCCACTCTGTGCACCAAGCCGACTCCGGGAGACTTATGCCCTTGGGGTTTCGGGTTTAGGGTTTTGGGGTTTTCTGTTTAGGGTTTGGGGTTTGGGGTTTAGGGTTTAGGGTTTGGGGTTTGGGGTTTGGGGTTTAGGGTTTAGGGTTTGCCGTAAACCCGAAGCACGACTGCCAAGCTCCCGACACCGACTCCGGAAGGAAGGGCCTCACTGCAGCTTCAGGATTTCCGGCTTTAGGCTTTGGAGGCTTTGTGGCCCTAAACCCTTAACCCTAAACCCTATACCCTAACACCTAAACCGTAAACTGTAAACCGTAAACCGTAAACCCTAAACCCTAAATTCCATCAACTCTTGTCAGGTTTGGCAAGGCCCAGGGCTTTGGGCCTTTGAGTTTCTTCGGGTTTGAGGGTAAAGGGCGTTCGGATTTGGGGTTTAGGGCTTAGGGCTTGAGGTTTCGGGTTCAGGGTTTAGGGTTGTTTAGGACTTTGGTTTTCGGGTATGCGGTTTATGGTGAAGGGCTTAAGCCCTTGCGAGTTGGGCTTTAGGTTTAGGGTTTAGGGCTTACGCACTTTATTGTGTTGGGGTTTAGGGCTCAAGGGCTTAGGGCTTCGGGTTTAGGGTGTAATTAGGGCTCAAGCACTTAGGGTATTGGGGATTCGGGCTTCGGGTTTGGCAGCTCAAGGGTTTGGGTTTTAGGGTTTAGGGTGTCTCAATGAGTGGGCACGCTGGTGCTGAAAGCACCCAGGCGCGCGCCCCGATTTGCATAAGCCCACCCCCGCTGGCGCTCCACCCTCGCCTTAACCTCTACGGGTTTAGGGTTCTTTTGAACTCTGATCGTGCTTTTGTTATTTTTCTCTTGTCTATTGGTTGGGTTCAGAAGCTCGGCATCGATGCAGATCAACTACCCTGAAGCTCGCAGCCCCTAGGCATTGCAAGGGAGATGTCTATCCGTCGAGGGCTGCTGGCAGAGCCAAAAGTCAGAGGTTTGGGCTTGGGGTTGGCTGCCGCCTTCGCCCTCGGCGATGCTGCGTGTTGGGCGGGGATTTGGAAAACTTGCTTGGAAGGGCGTGAAACCAGAAGTTTGGGCTTTCGCCGCTTTCGCCACGCTGATGCTGCACCGTTTGTTGTTTTTGTCTTTTCAAATGGTTGTTGGGCTTAGCTGTCCATCATTCGAGGGCTTCTGGGAGGGCCAAAAAGTCAGAGGTTTGGGATTGGGCTGGCTGCCGCCTTCGCGCCTGAAGTCAAAGGGTTGGGATGGTTGCTGCTGCCTTCGCTTTAGCTGATGCTGCATCGGGAAGGCCTTGTTGGAGGCGTGGTGGCCTTGTGAGTCTTTCTAAAAGTGCCAAAAACCCAAAGGTTTGGGCTTGGGGCTGGCTGCCGCCTTCGCCCTTGCTGATGCTGCGTCCTGGTTGGGGATCTGGATCCCTTGCTTGAAAGGGCCTCCCAGCAAGGGGCCTCAGGCCTGCTTTTCAGGCGGGTTCAGGCAAAAGCTTTCCGGCAAAGCAGGAGATCCTGCCAGGCAGGGGGCCACAGCCTTCCGAAATTCGTTCCAAAAAGTGCAAAAGCCTTGGGGCTGGCTGCCGCCTTCGCCCTTGGATGGCAAAGCACCAGGCCCACGGGCCAAAATTTGGCCAGGCTATTTGGCCTCCGCAGCCTCCCAGCACAGGCAGGGGCCTGGTAAGGCTCACTCAGTTTAGGGTGTAGGGTTTCGGATTTAGGGTTTAAGGGTTTAAAGGTTTAGAGTTTAGGGTTTAGGGAGTTTGAGTTCAGGGTGTCGGGTTTGGCTTGCGAGTTTTCGGGTGTCAGCAGCCGACCGAGGACCTCACGGAACCCTAAACCCTAAACCCTAAACCCTAAACCCTAAACCCTAAACCCTAAACCCTAAACCCTAAACCCTAAACCCTAAACCTACGCCTTGGTTTCTGAGCCCAAGGCAGGACGCTCCGCCAACTCTTTGGGACCTGGCTTCAAGCTCAGGGTTGCGCCATCTCTGTATGGCCAGTTCTCTACATTATTGTCCGATTTGGGTTTAGGGTTTAGGGTTTAGGGCCAGTTTACAGTTTAGGGTTTAGGGTTTAGGGTTTAGGGTTTAGGGTTTAGGGCTATGATACGGCGGCCCCTACTCTTCCTTAGGGTGCCCAACAAGGGACCCTCATTTAGAGAACTCACCGTACAGTCATCAAGGGCTACAAAAAGGTTCAGCTCCTCCATCCCTACACAGACTACAACAATAAGGCTAAGCTCACCGTTCCTGCAAAGAATTCAAAAAAAGTTAAGCTCCACCATTTCTTACCCTAAGGCTCCAAATAGCCCAAAGTAGGTACCATTTATAGACTTTAGACCCCAATGTCGGTATTACTTGTATACTTGGAGCCCCTAAACCCTAAACCCTAAACCCTAAACCCTAAACCCTTAAACCCTTAAACCCTTAAACCCTTAAACCCTTAAACCCTACACCCTAAACCCTAAACCCTAAACCCTAACCCTAACCCTAAACATTAACCCTAAACTTTCTGTATACTTGGAGCCCTACGGTTGCGAAATACAAAATAGGCAGGCCGCGGAAGCTTCGACTGTTGGCTAAAAAAGAGAGAAGGTCGGGGCTGGAGGGTGTAGGGTTGTGTTTTCTTTTGTTGTAGGAGGGGGGGGAGGGGGGTGAAGGGTCCAGGGAGGGTTTAGGGTTTCGGGTGTAGGGTTTAGGGTTTAGGATCAGGGGACCCTTAACGGGGCGTAAGGTTTGGGGCTTGGGGTCTCTGAAGCCTTGTTGGAGAGTCTTCGATCGAAGTTTGGGCTGTCAATGCGCTGAGGGCTGAGGGCTTCGGGCTGAGGGCTTAGGGTTTAGGGTTTAAGGTTCAGGGTTTAGGGGTGTAGGGTAGGAGTGGTGAACAAGTAGAGGGCAGCTTGCGGCAAGGGCCCCCGAGCGGCTTACAGGCTATGAGGGTGTGCACCAGTTGTCCGAAGGTCGGGCCTCAACGTCCACGTGGTCCTCGCCCTCCATGGGCCTTTGGGGGGCAAGCACCCTTGACCCTAAACCCCTCAACCTTGGCATGTTCCCCCCTATACGAACAGTCATTGATAGGGATTACAAAAAGGGGTATCTACTACAATCCCTACAAAGGACTGCTAGCATAAGGGGGAACATCCCAAGCTAACCCTCAACCCCACCCGAGGCCCAAAGACCTATAGCCGGAAATCCAAAAGCCAAAAAACCTGTTTTTACCCTAAAACCCTTGCAAGGCTCCTGAACCGTAGCTCCTGAAGCCCAAAATCTAAACCCTGTGACCTGTTACGGTGTTTTCATGCTGAGGTCAGCACCCCATGAGCCACGGGAACAGCAAGTAGAAGACCTCGTAGTGTCATTACAGCTTCTTTGGGGGTTCAGGGTTAGGGCTTATGGCGGCACCCCCGTTCCTTTGGCACAACCTTGGCAACTCTGGAAAACCTGTACCCTAAACCCTGTGGCCCACGCCAGGAAGAAGGAATAGTTGCTGAGCCACTGGGGTGCATTGGGCTGGAAATACCTGGCCAGATCGCAGCATGACCCTACTTGGAGGTTCAGGCTACTTAAAACCTAATTCATAAACGTGCAGTTATAACGTACCTTTGGAGTAGACCCTGGAAAGAAAGTATATACTTTTTAGGTATACGTAGCTATAATAGGAACCCAGAACCAAGAAAAGTACTAAAGTACAGTACTCCCAAACCCAGCTAGCAAAGGAAGACGGTAAGCCACGCAGCCTCAAAGGATGCAGCCATATTCCTTTATCAAGTTACATAATCATCGAGGCTGCCCAGTAACCTATAGGCTTAAAAAGGGTACCCTTTTTTTGCTTAAAGGGGTGTATAAGGGAACCTAACCTAAACCCCCCAAAAAGGGAATAAGGGTACTACTGGGCATCCTAGTCACATAATCATTGTGACAACAACCAAGGAAGAACCAATGGTTAAACTGTAATGCTTCCTGCAAAGGGAGTCCCAAAGCGTTAGAGTTCAACTGTTGGCTAAGTGAAACCCCAAACT